TATACAAGTTAAATCAATAGCCTGAAAAATAAGACAGGGCTATATATTGTAGTACCACTAATTTAACTAGCTAGTTTAGTGTAATGTGAAATGGGACAAGGAATCTGAGCATGCAACATGCCTACTTTATAGGCGTGCATGATCAACAAAAGTATTATGTACTTATTCATATATGAAATTAATTAAAATTTTAGTATATAGTATGAAATTTAAAAATCATAGCTTAAAGTCTTAGCATATCATATACTCCCTCTGTCCCAATTTATGTGACACATTTTAGATTTTGAAATTCAAACAAGTCTATCTTTGACCGTAAATTTTTCATATATCTTTTAAATATTTTGAATTATCAATTATTGTGACTTATAGTACTTTTTATGTAGTTTATAAAATATATAAATTTCATTTTGAAAAAATTGAAGATTCAATAAGCAAATTCTCGATCAAACTTAAATTGTTTGACTTTCGAAAAGCAAAATGTGTCACATAAATTGAGACAGAGGGAGTACTAGCTAGGTCTTAAATGAGCCGTTTACCTAATAATGAGTATTCTCTTTTAGTACTAAAATTTATTGATATAAACCTTCTATACACTTCAAAGTCTTTTCTATAATTAATTACATTAAATATTGTACGTTAAAGTCCTTAGAGCCATCAAACTTTGGTTGTGAACTAACAAAAATGGGTCCTAAATAAAAAAATTATATCTTTTTTTGTGCATAGGCAATTCAAAGTCTATAAGTAGGATATAGGCTTTTCTTTTCCTATAGTTCAAGCTACCCTTAACTTTGTGATTATATTATATTATACTAATGTGGAAGTTAAGCATAAAATATATATATAGTTTAATTAGCGTATCAAACTGTTATGATAGTGGTCCTCATCTCTAATCTCCTATTTTATTTTTTAACTTCCCTTCTAGGGTACTTATTCTAATTATAAGTGCGGAAGGTCCACCTCTCAAGTTACGAATTTGACTGAATTCAACAATATTAAGTTAAACTATATAATAGCGTTAAGACTTTATTTTATGTCGTATATATTATGATATTTTCAATTAATTAATGTGTTTTTTATTATTTTATGCGATTAATATATTATATTAAAATTATTTTTAGAAGAATATTACCGTCAAATGTGCACATTAACAATTTAATGTCAATATTTTTCCATCGATATTTTCATTATAACTTTCTTTACGCTTGTACTTTTCTGAAAAAGAAAAAAAAAATCTTGAGTTGATCGTCTATCGGAAACAATCGTGTAAGGTCTGCATACACCTCACCCTCTCCGGACATTACTTGTGAGATTATATTGATTTTGTTATTGTACTTCGGGAAATTTATGATCATTAATGAGCAAAGGAATCAAAAATATATATTTCAAGTGATCGAAGGTTAAATGTGCTTAGTCGGCTGTTACAAAGATTAAAATCAGAATCATAACTAAGTGAAAAACGAAAAAAAAGAAGTTATTAACCCATAAATGATTTATTCTAAACCCAGTTACTGTTCTGTCCCAAAATTAATAAATTCAGAATTTTGAATCCGTTTCTCTCTCCTAAGCATTCCTTTTTCTTAGATTTCACATATCTTTACAGTAATCACGAGATAATTAACATTACAGTTGCTAATTAGTAGAGTAATTACTTTAATTTGAACTTTTGATCGTGGACATCACGTGTACTAATTAATTAAGTTGCTTTAGTATACTGTTTACAAAATTTCTGATTACTTCAGTACGTATCACAGCTCACAATAGGCATACTTTTAGCTGTAGAAATTGTACATTTGGCCCCTAACCAGCAATTAATTAATTTATTAATTAAAGTTAACAGTACTAGGATGAGTAACAAATGAACTAAAACTAATCATCAAACGAATAGTAAAAGCATGAATAAGAAAATGAGAAACTTTTTATTAGTCCTAAAAAAAAACTTTTTATTAGTAGTAAATTTAAAAATTGTCCTATAAATGCATATATATTATTTTATATGAAACGGAATGTGATCAATTATAGTCATAACTAAAAACGCTAAAATTTATTTAAAAAATAAATAAAAACTAACCTTCATAACAATAACTACTAAAAAGTAACTATTTTCCCACTAAAGTTTTTCGGGCAAAAATGTCTAGTAACTATTTTCATAAATATCTCGATTGAATTGTGAGAAAAAAATTATAATGTTTACATACAGAAAAATAAGAAAGCTTCTCACTATTTAAGTTCCATTGATTCATGACAGAGAAACCTCTGTTTCTAATAGTGAGTAAAACAAACATTTATTTTGTTTAATCAAATAATAAATATGAATTTTCAATTATACAGTATATACTAATTTATACTTGATATTTATACTAAACACCTAATAAAAACAATTCCTGCATTGCATTATTTAGATTACTAATTTCTCCATTACAATTTATGTATTATTGATGATCCCTACATATTTAACTTGTCTATAAAATATATATTTTTTCAAAACTTAATGCACATATTACTATTGTATATATTTATTTAAAATAGAGTTATTAAGCAACTTAGGATTCCAAAATGAGGGGCCTCAGTCTATTGATGTTTGATCTATATATGTGGACAACCACACATTATTATTAATATTAATAATTATCATATAAAGTTTTTATATGATAATTTTAATATAGTTTCTTGAGAGTTCCACTGGAGGTCATCATATCAATGTGGTTCCAGTAGGAACAAAATTGTATATTGTTGGCATATTGGGGTGAGAAGAAAAACAGTTCCCTTTGAAAAATAAAGACTCTTTAATTTGACCTTTGTGTACACAAACCAGTAGTACTGTCAGTATACTTAATTAATTTCTTGGACCATTTCATTTTTCTACCTAAATAGGTGGCAGTACTGTGAACATCAAAGCTCGTGACGGAATGATAAATATTTTTCTATTTTTGTTAGATATATTGAGTTTGAGTGGAGAAAATAGAATATTTTATTAATTAAGTAGAACTTTTCGGCGCATATGTGATCGAGTTTCAATTATAACTGTAAAATATCAGGTGATTATTATTTTAATTTTTTACTTAAAAAAAAAAGTAGAAATGGAAAATAATGACTAGTTTCCTCACCCAACAAAAAAATGATCTTTTAAATTTGGACCAAAATTATTCAGTTCGATCCATTTATATTTTAGTTATATATATGTTTCTAATTTCTTTATTTTTAATTAAATGTCTTGAATTTGAGAATTAAGAAATAAATTGACTTTGGAAGTGAGCTGGGGTGGAGCCAAGGTACCATACGTGGTTTTATCCCAACCTCTTTCTTGGAAAAATTACACTATATATTATATATGTAATATATATATATGTATAAGGTTAAAAATATTTTTTATCTATATATAAATAGTAGAGGTTGAATTCTCTTGATTTCTTCATGTATTTACCTTTTTATATTTTGAAATTTTTAGCTAAAATATTAGCTCTGTCACTGAGAATGTTTTACTTTCAAACTGAAACTTTTCATAGCAAATTTAAATTAGTTGAGATGAAGTGAGTATCGAATATCGAGTAAGAAATAAAACATAAAAAAATAAGAATAGGTAAAGGGTGACCCAACAAAAATCTGACCATAGATATTATGTCCTAAACTTTTGGAGACCATGAGCAATCCCTCTTTGATCCTTTGATCATCTTTTTCTTCTTTCAATTATCATTTTCATCATCCACATTTTTACTTTGCTTTATTAATTACCATCATGGTTAATGTCTCCTGATCTTATTATCTTATCTTTTAAAATATTTATACACTTGTTAAAATACTAAATCACTTCAATTTTAATTATATTAGCCTAAATTCTTATTTATTTCTCTCTCAAATATCTATCTTAATTAATTAACACTCTGCTGGAGCAATAAAAACAATTTTTTTTTGAAAAATTGCTACATGCAACTAGTAGTAAAAGTAGCATTTACTAGCAGTGAAATATAGTTCATAAATAAAGGAAATAATAAATGTATCCAAGTTGAAGAAGTAGCATTTGTACTACTCTAGTTTTGATAAATAAGCTATAGTAGGAGTTGCTTTTTGACTTGATAATTCGAAGGGGATATTTATGGTAGTGATGCTAGCTCCATCCTCAAGCAAAAAAAAGGACCCACAATAACCAAGAAAAAAAGAAGCAATAGAATAACGATAACAACAATAAATTCAGTTAAATTTTATAAATGTAATCAGGAGAGAACAAGATATGTGTGGCCTTATTCTTACTTTTATTGGAGAGGAAAAATGTTTTCGATTAACCTTCGACAATTCTTCATTCTATCTGGAGTTCAAAACAATAATGTGAACGAGCTCATAGAAACGGAGTTAAAAAAGAAAGAAACAGTCTGAACTCTCTCTTTGATGAATACAACGATCTGCCTTTGTGACCTTTTCTTGAATTGCTTTTACTTCATATTCTTCTCGTGTGAACATGATCTCTCAATAATCCTCCTTTTCATTTTTGGAGTTTAATAACTATTATACTGAACTTTTTTTTAAAAAAAAAAACATTAAGTTAACCTTATTTTACTTTTAATAATTCAATCATATTTAAATTTAATTACCAATTTAAACTACTAGTAATTACATTTTTCCCCTTAATCAGCCAGTTTATTATTAATTTAACTTTTCCAATGACATAGTACTATGTAAAATCAAATATTAAAGAATCAAACTCAAACTTGCTCAACTCAATCAGAGCTCAATTATACTCTTAACAAGGCTTTATTAAACTCAACTTAATACTACTATAACAAGCTCGATTGGATTCAGCTCAACTCAATATTACTATTATTTATAACTCAGTTGAACTCGATCTCAACTCAACACCCAACCTATGACAAAGAGATAAGTTTACCTATTTTTCTCCTTAAGCAAACAAGCAAATTGATGTAAATAAGTTACACATACACAAGATAGATATTAAAGATTAATTTTGAGAAGAAATTTCATTTCTCTCAAATGTAAAATAAAACCCCCAATCAAACCAATTACAAAATTACATTAGTTAACAATAAATAATACACTTATTACAAAATTAAACCATTAGCAATGGCTCGATTAGTATCAAGATGAGTAGTTTCATAAACTGGTAATTCTTCAAGATACCTATTACTATCTATTCCAATTGCAGAAAGATTATCAAGTTCGAATAAATCTGAACTAGCACAACTTGCACCATCATCTTCATCTTCATCGTCGAAAATTTCCATTTTCTTGATTTGGGAATTTGAATTTCTCTGATAATTTCTCAGCAACTCTTTAGTAGCTTCCTCAACTCGATGATTTTTCTCCATTGAATGGAATTTGAGCTCGTCGTTAATGGAGTTTCTGATATTCTTTAGAGATTCTGGATTGGGTATTTTTTCTTCATACAGATTTTTGTGTCCGCATGGCTGACAATCTTCGTCTACGATGATACTCACTGGGTAAAATCTCACAGAACGTTTCGTTCCGTTGCTGCTGGATTTGGGTGTGCTTTTGCTTAAACATGACCTGGAGAATGAAGAGGCTGAAGAACACGTAGACGATGCATTTGCAGAAACAACTTTGGGTTTCTTTGTATTTCCAGCAGTGAAAAGTGAGTTCAAGAAACTTGCTAATCGACCTCCCGGAGAAATTGGTTGCTTCACTTTCTTTAAATCTCCGTAAATCTTCAAAGCTTTTGATTTCGTCTTTATAAAACCAGTTTCACTTTTGGTTTTGGGAGCGAAATCTCTTTCCATTTGAGGATTATTATGGCCATAATTATTGAGCTGTTTAGCTTGGTTTTTGCTGAGTTTTTCTGGGTTTGTACTGGAAATTGAGGTTCTGATTGGTTTAGGCCTGTTTAGACCATAGCATGAAGAAGATGACCCAGCTGGATTTACTACTACATTATTGTAACTGGATTCAGTTTCCGAAGAAGAAAACACACCCCCACAGCTGGAATCTGAAGAACTCGAGCTCGAGTTCATCAGATTCCTCGATTTCCTCTCTAAATCAGCTATAGATTTTCTCCGAACAACAACTTTTTCACTTACTTTATGTTCCATCCATTTCTCAATCATACAAGCTTTTTGAAAACTCTCCATATTGTTGCTGCTCTGTTTCTTACGCATTGTTTCTTTGTAAAGAACAACCTCTTCTTCTTCTCCTTGATCAATTGAACGATAAATTGCGTCAAGAAGTGTAGAAGAAAAAGATGGGTTTGAGGAATGAGAAATTTCCCTCTCTCGTTGATAACTATACCTATCCATATATGAGTATTTTTTATAGAAGTAGAAAAAAACAGAGCAACAGGAAGAAAAACAGAGGAAGTGAAGGAGTGGGGTGAAAAATGATTGAAGGAATGTCTTTATTGTCTGTTATAGATGAGTCAAAAGCTGCAGGAAAATAGAGATGTCAATGAGGAATTCATGCCATTGATCATCATACACATACACATACACACAAAAATAATAATAATATGAATGCGAAGAAGAGACAATGGAGACAAAGAGTTATGGATAACTGATGATGGTTTTAGGGAGAGAGAAAACAGAGCATAATGAGAGACTGTAATTTGGATGACACGCCTGAAGAAGAGAGAGAGAACACTGTGTGTGTATGTGTTTTTATTCTGTGTTCTGTTCCACTTTGGGCTTTATATGATTATCAAACTTGAAAACACGGGAACAGTGGGTGGGTGGTGGGTGATGGGTGAGGGGTGGGGGGTAAGTAGGGGGTGGGGTGGTCCAACAAGGACGCAATGCCAACCTGGCAATGATGACATGGCAATGCGTATTTATTTCTTCACGAGGAATACGTACGTTAATTTAATAAGTTAATGTATAATATAATATAACTTAATATGATAAAAATAATGGAAAATTATGTGATTAAACAAACTTATACTACTTAATTAGTCATCATAGCTATATGTTGCTATAATTACAACTCGCGACTACCATTAATCATTAATTACGTGGTTGTCATCGAGTTTGTATAATTAGTCACGTTTGTATAATTCGCCACATTTGTATAATTCGCAACTAACAATTCTTTGTTTGATTTGTATTTGTATACGATGGTTTGTATATGTATATGCCGATGATTTCTTTTGGTTTTTAGTTTTATCACCACATACAATCAATCTTAATTTGTATAACTGTTTAAAGTTCATATGTTTATGTTTGTATCAATTTGTTATTTCGAGTTTTATCATATTTGTATAATTCCAGACTTTGTATTACTCAATTATACAAAACACGCGAATTATACAAACATACTCGCGAATTATACAAATAATTGCCCTCTCTCGCTCGCCTCTCTCCTCTCTCTCAATCTCGCTCACCTGTCTACTCCCTCTCCCAATCTCGCTCACCAGATATACAAATACATATGTATATCAGTTACATATATACAATTATCTAACCGATATACATATACAATTCGTCTCTCTCCCACTCTTTGTCCTCTCTCCTCCCTCCCTCAATCTCGCTCGCCACTCTCCTCCCTATAACATGTAGACACGAATCGTTATTAGCAAACTATAGCTATAAAGCGTAATGAAGCTATTTTTGAGCGACTATATGCAAAAGTTCCAAAAAAAAAAACAATAATAATACTTGCCCTTCGTACTCATAAAGGGAGACCAACTATTGATTTTCTATCAATATCTTTTTTATTAGAGTTAGGTCGCATTAAATCTGTTTAATGTAATTTATATTCTACTGTGATTGGTAAATAATTGTAAAAATATAAATTTACTTTGTGCACCTAAAAAATTAGTGACTATTAATTTATATGGGTTCTAAAAAATATAAAAAATACTTGCCCATCATAATCTGTCTTGCCAGACTAGAAGTAACAATTCTTAATTGAAACCAGAGATATTTATTGAATAGTTTTTTCTTTTTTCTTTTATTGAATAGTCTTTACTCTTTTTCTCTTATTGTGTATTTAAAATTTAAAATTTCAAAACATTTTAAAAGCTACGATATTTAAAAAAATAAATAAAAATAATAATAATAATGATATATATATATATACTTTTTTAAGAAAATAATTATGATGTTGAGTGAATTGCTGCTTCCAACTTTTGTTGATGTCGTTCGTTATTTGAAGAAAGTTAAGTAGATAACTCAGTGTCAAGAGATTATAATTTCGGACAATAATATATTTTTACTTTTCATTTTTACTCCACTTGTGAAATTAAATAAAGGGGCCAAGATTTATATGTTAGAACTTTTTAGTAAATGTAAATTCACGTTAATTTTAATTATTATGATTTATAAAATGAACTACAAAAGTATAGTTGACAAGACATAATTTAGACCGTTTATTCATTAGATTTTTTGATCGTATCTGAATTACTTCATGCATTAACATGTATTTTAATATATGAATAAACAGTAGGTATTGATTTAACAAGCGAGTGCGAAAGAAAATACTATTGAGCTGTTTGGTATTATGTCTTATTCAGAATAATTTATCCTAACAAAACTGAAATATTATATAAATTATTCCCCTTTTAAATTTCATTTTTTTATTATATCTATGAATATAATTAATTTTTGTATATAAATAAATATATTAAAAGAATGACGAGTGTGAAAACTGAAAAGATTTAGCAAAAAAAGAGTCTTAAAGATGAAGCAATGTGCCATATTAAGCTAGACATTCCTTTTAACACAACAGTCTGCATATTATTTAATTATGTTACCTTAATCTCCAACATTATCTTTCTTTTTCTTTTTCCCAAACAATATCTCCCTTTTAATTTAATTAAAATTGATAATTTCTGCTTTGAAAGGGGAAAAGGGAATGAAGATAATCTCCTAGTCATTATCTTTAACAACAAAATTACGAAAATAGAAGACTCAAAATAGAAAGGAAAAAGGGTAATCAAGATAATCTAATTATAATATCCGTGAAGGTGACTAAGTTGATGTATCTGGTGATATCTTATAAAGGAGGTCGAGATTTGAGTCGAGCTTATTTATTAAATTCATATAGTATAATGTATATTTTTTATGTAATTTACAAGCTATTATATGAAAACAGATATATCCGACGCTTATTTGAATGATAGCGGTTGCATGATTTCAAGATAGTCTCATGTTTTGTTAATCTCAAAAGATCATTACTTTAATTTCTCGTCCTTTTTTTAGTTTTTTACTTTGCCTAAAATAAACACTATATATACTTATATAATCTTTACGATTTTGCGTTCATCCCAAATTTTGTAACTGTATATGAATTAAATTAAAAGACGTACTATATCTTATTAACAATCAGTTGTAAGAATTAATTAACTTCTAACTAATGTTTTTTGCTTAATTTATTTTGAAATCAATCTAAACCTTATAAGATGAAATTCTTTTGGAGCTTTTAAGCATTAAAATCATCTTTAAATATTCCTCCATCCCGTCTATATTATTTAAACGGGATTGTTGTTGCACTCTCATTCATAAAAAAACATTTAAGTAATAGCTCTAAATTCTAATTATTAGAGTTTTGTCCAAACTTATCTTTTCTATTCAGTGTACTTGTTAAATATCTCAACTACCCATTAATTGGAGCATTAAAATTAGGTTTTAAAAAGGTAGGATTCGTAAGTAACTTTTATTTCTCTTTTTCGGATCAAAACATTATAAAATTGATCAAAGAAGATGTCATATGTGGAATAAGTTTGATAACACCTACAAAAATAACGGAGCCTCCTGACCATCAAAATTGAATTACCCAATATATACATCAACAAAGCAAAAAATCGACCATAAAGAAGAAAGGAATAGGGGTAATAAACCTTCTCCTAAGCTCTAGAGTCTAGAAATACCTAAATATTTTGAAATAATCTAAATTTACAAAAAATGATTTCTTCTTTTTCGGGACTTTGACTCTATGACATATACAAGATTAATTATTTTCTTGAAATTATTAATCCATTTTAATCAACTTTTCTTACTTTTATTTTCATCGATCAGAGATTATATTATTCACCTCGGAGATTTAATACGATTACGAAAATGACTATTATATGAGATCGAAAAAAGGATTCTCTATCATATAATAAAAGAAAGAATGGCAGAAATTTCAATGATGTGCATAAGTGCATACTTCCAAGTCGTTCATTATTATTATTATAATTATTATTTGTATAGAAGATATGTGTTAGATTGAGAAAGAGACCCCAAAAGTGGCCAACTTTATGTCAAACATGATTTACATAATGCTAAATTAATCATTGCACTCGTGGCTGTCAATCTTTATGGAGTAACGGATCAATATCACAAATATATGACAATTCATAAAAATTGACCTACAAATAATACTAAAAAAATTCAATTTATGAATTCTAATTCTACTAGCATAAGAAAAACTATATAATTTATTTGTATTATAACAAGTAATTTATATTATTTTTCAAACTACTAATTCCAAAATATAAAAATTAATGAATATACAAGTGTGAATAGTTGGAAATTATAAGATTCAGAGCTTAGTAAATGCAAAAAATAGTAGTTGTGATTTCTCCTCATCTGACCAAGTTTTGGTGAATAGAATTACTCGATAAATGTATTGGATGAAAAATTAACAAATACTTTTCAACAAATTTGAAGTTGTTTGAGTTTATTCTGGATCCATGAATATTACTACCATAGCGAATCTGAATCTCCCTTAAAAAAAGGAGATGTGCCTCAATCAGAATATATATTTGTTTACTCACTTCTTATCATTTTATTTCCAATTATAATTTATGATATTTTCATCAACAAACATTACATACAATTAATAAAATTCTACATATAAACTGTCACGAATACGATGATTATTAAAAAGGGGAAACTACATAAATCCCACTAGTTTGGTCCTAATTACTAAGATTCCCAATAGTTTCAAATATTACTTCCTCTACCATATTTCATACTTAGGATACATGGATTTGAATTTGTGAGATACATGTATTTGCCGAATTTTAAAATTGAGATACGTATTTTATTTGTTTAAATTAATTGATTATAACTGATTTCCTTAATTAGTAGGAGTAATTGATGATTTTTAGAATATATGGACAATTAATTCTGGAAATTAAATTAATCAAATCTCTTAATATAGGGCAAATCAAGGAGTGCATTTATGTTTAATTAATTTCATTTATTATTCTTTGAAATAATAAATTCATTAACATTATTATTAATAAAAACAAAAACATGTATATCTTGGTCATGTAATTTGATTAATTTCATTTTATTACTCTTAAAATAATAAATTCATTAATTTGATGTATCTATTATCAATAGATGATGTATCCTAACAAACTAAACACTTAGATACATGAGTATCATACAAGTACATTCATATGTAAAATAGAAGTATCTAGTATTAATTTCGTGTATTTTCTATATGTGTCTATTATTAATTTTATGTATGTATGTATATGATCTAATTTTAATTTCATGTATCTTTCATATGTATCTAGTATTAATTTGATGTATCAAGTATCAATTTCATACATTATATTCAAAAACGTGTATCTCGAATACATAGTAAGCATATACATAAATTATGTGTATCTAAATATGGAATGTAATTGAAACAATCGAATTTAGGAACAACTCACGATG